CTAAGTGAGGACTTAGAAGACGAATAAGGGAATAGGTATAATAAGATAGCAGCCAAAGGACTTGACTATCAATATTATGTAGGCAACGGCCTAAGAACTATTACCTTATAGTAAAAGTAAGAATTGTTACCTGTTGCAACACCATGCCTAGCAGGATTCTTAATACATCGAGAAGAATCTGGATTCTGACTATTGGATACTGTGCCCAAAGCATACTCAAGCAACCTTACGTCAAAGTCTGCACTGTACTAGAACCTCGCTAACTAATACAACAGGTACTGGTAAAGAAAACAACAATGTCCAGAATGTACTGGCAGGGGAGGTGGTAAAAGAGAGAGTGTAGTGGGGGAGGTGGTATGCAGGACACTAGTAGGGGGAAACTAGTAGGGTAGAATCTGGCTGGGGGGTGGTAAGGATGAAGCAGCTAGTAGCTATCTTTATTACTCAGAATTTCCAGATGGTAACTACTTGGCATTGCTTACCTAATACATACAGGACTCAATTAAACTTAGTATCATACCCAGGTACCAGACACACAGGACTCAACCACACTTGGTACCCAAGTCCTGGATGTACAGGATGCACTGGATGCAGAATCCTCTCTTCTTGTATCAGGATGCACTGCCTACACCTTTAACACTGGAATAATTTTTCCTAATATATCCACCAACCAATACTTGCAATAGCAGTTAACGTATTTGACCTAGTTATGGGACACCCCCTAGTTATGAGACACTTTAAAAACTTGTACACAACATAAAGAATCATGAACTACAGCAGCAGTAGATGATTAATTTGGCAGCAACTGGGAAGAAAGAATATCAGCATAGGTTAGAGTATGTAATATAAAATTTAGATTATATTACATAAAACCAGAATTGTTATTGAGAAAAGTATAGAGTAAGGAAGATTTTATAATTGTACCAATCAGGAATTTTTTAAAAATTCACAAAAAATAGTAAAAATATTCTGTGACCTGGATTAATTAGACTAGATCTCTCCTCAAAGCTAGTATAGTTCGTGCCATTCAAAACCTGCACCAGAAATTCCACAACTTTTAAATCAACAAGGCTTTACAACTAGCAGCATTATGGGAAAAAAAAAACCTCAGTGTTGAAGAGAACTTGATGGAGAATAACCATGAGGTTTTCTTTTATTTTTTTTGTTCCTGGTTGGAGATCCTTGCAAATTTGAAAAGTTGTACTTTTGGTGAGAAAGAGAGAAAAATGTTACATCAGCTACAGTTTGATTTCTTAGTAATTAGAGATTCATTATTCAGGAAATAGGGTTTTAGCTTAAAATAATCATATTATGTACTGAAAAGAGTAAATATAACCTGTAACCTATAAGCAATATTATTAACCCTAATGACAACAACCATTATTTCTCTAGTATATATAATAAAACAGTAGAGAGTTGGATTAATGTATAATACTATATTTCAAAAGATTATTGTATATATTTGTTAATATTTTAACATTTCTCTTCTCTTGTTCTTTTTATTATAACCTCATATTATTTATCTTTAAATCTATGTAAAATATATTATTATTTAAACCCTTGACTATAATTCCATGGAAAATTCAAGGCTTGGCATCAAACGAGGTACAGTCACATGTAACTTATCACTTCAGCCTCATGCAGGTTTTGAATGGCACGAACCATAGGTAAAAGCAATGTAATCAGATATCTAGTAGAGTTAAGTCATTAGCTTGAATAAAGGTGATAATATTTCTATTTTAACAATATTGTACTATATAAGAAAACTTAAACTACAATAGCTATAGAGGTTCAATTAAGCCACAACTTGAAATATTGAATATAGATATTATGTAAAATATATC